TTTACTAATGTAAGTGATATATACCAAACTAAAAATTATAAAATGAATATGAATAATTATACAATATATTTACAATTCTTCCTATTCCTTAAATTAATTTACATTTAACATCATTTGAATGTATTCTTTTTTAATCTTTTATGATGCCCGTATACAGTAACTAGAAAATCTGAAATTATAATTCATTAAATTTCATACAGCTATACAAAATTTTCCAAATTGATAATTTCTCTTTAAAAATTTAATCAATAGAAACCATTTGTTCATTCTTCGTAACATTTTTTACTGTTCTATAATGTTCTTCAATGATACAATACTGATCATGCAATAATAATAATGACAATTAATATAAATTTTTGTAAAACTTCAATATAATAATGGAATATATGTTATAGAATAGTTATTAGTATATACTTTAGTTAATCATATATATATTATGTAAATATTGTCAGAGTTCTAGTAATTATCTGGTTCTAGTAATTGGCAATTCCAAAAAGCTCTAACACATTTTGTAATTCATCTTAAAAGGAATTATTGAATTATCAATTTATGGAATCTTCTGAATGGAACAAGAAGCATTCATCTATAGTAGACCAGCATAAATTTCTTGATAAAAACTGGTTCTGAACATTTCAGTTTTACTTTATCACAACCCCTAGGCAAGTATGGAAGTTATGAATAACTTCCATACTTGCCTAGGGGTTGTGATAAAGTAAAACTGAACCTTTTTACATAACATAAAGCTTACAGCCAGTGGCAACTATCCATGAAAGCTGTTGAAGTGCCACTTCCCTTGTATTTTCTAAAATATAAATACATATTGTGCAATTATTTTCATATTTTAATGTACTTTGAATTACTTAAAATTAATATTTTATTATAACTGCATTATGTATGTTATTAAAAATTTCTATACATGTAAAAAAGAATGATAAGATTACTATTGTATATGCAAATATAAATTCATATATGCATATTCACAATGGAAGCACTGTATAGTTGAATAAGGGATAGCTTCCATGGTGAAAATACTTGAATGGTGTAAAGCAGCCAGATTATAGGTGTTCGCACATATGCTTTATGGAGCACCAACCTAATACAGTTTAGCTGGTGGATACTACATACCAAAATATCATATAACATTTCCAATAATTAGGTTTGTTTATATTTTTTATGGAAATACAACTTCCCTATCATCAAATGTCACTGCACATGACTGTTTATAACATATGATACCTGACATCGTACAAGAACCAGATTACAACTGGACCATGACTTGCATATCATTAACAAATTTATATAGGGCCCTAAAAGTGCAAGGTTGTAGAATAATAGTTCTCAAGCTTTTTAAACTAGTGGCATAAGCACAATTTTTGGTGGAACATTGATAAGCCAGTGTAGCATCAAAAATGCCATTATTTCTATAAACAAACTGCAATGTTTAAGATTTGCACTTTTCATATAAAATATATACAATTATTATTAAAAAGTAGACAAAAAATTAGCATTTTTAAATGATTTTTTAAAAATTTTGTAAAATGTCTAAGAGAAATTAATGGCACACCAATTGAGAATCACTACCCTAGACAAAAGCTTAGGTTGCCTATTCCTAAAATTGTCACTGTTCTTTGCATGCCTGAACCATCCCATGGCAATACCTATAATAACCATGCCTTATATTTATAACTGGAATGTCTTAACAGAGGAATCAAATGTTAATATTTTTTCATTCCTTCTCCTGAAACCAGGCCCATAGCTAGAAGGGACCAGGTTTCTCTCTAGTTATCTTGTTCCAAATGACAAAATTCTGACTTGTAATTCTCAGTACACTTGTATGCCAGTGTTTTCACATTATTTTTGTGTTTTTCTATCACTGAGTAGGAATTGTTAGATAATGCAGTTCGAAATGCATATGGTGTAAGTATATGTTTTTGATCATAAAAAGGACTGTTTAAAAGATCAGTGTAATTTTATTATGTTCATTGTTTTAAAATAACTTTTCCTTTGAGTTTTTTAAAATTATATACATATATATACCTTTTTAAACAAAATTATGTTTTATTATTATATTTTTTAGATAAATATATAATTTTTAACGTTTAAATTTTGAATATTTTTTATTGTTTTGTTTGTACATTATTTAATAGTAGTATATTTCAAAAATTTTCTGAGAGCAGGCCTCAGACCCTCTTTCCTTGCAGTAGTTTGTAACCACCATAAGACCATCTCACAATTTGCTAGAGCCACTCTTACTGTAGTTGGTTTAGCTACTCCCTTGTCTAAAACATGTGCACTACTTGTTAGATTTAGTGCACTTAAAATTGGTGTTAAAATTAGAGTACTAGGGTATCATTTATGGAGAATTAGATTATAATGATATATTTTCTGTATGTCCACAGATTGTATACAATAGTTAGTTATTATATTCTTTATTAATTATAAAAAGCATTTCTATTTACTCTGAAAGTAATTTATCTTCAGCAACACTATAATTTATTTAAACAAACATTTTGGATCCTTTTCATAAGTCTGAGTCATGTTTAACATATAAACTAGAAGATTTAAACTGAAAGTTCTAATTATTGGGAGCTTGATCTATTAACTCCCTGGGTTTTTGTTGTTTGTTGCTTCCTGTTCTTTTTGAAGATTTCATAACAGTCTGCATCTTTTTCTTCTTAGCTTTGGTACATGATGGGTGACTAATATAGTCTCCCATCATGACCTGTGGCTCTCAGTAACAATATTTTCTGAACTTATTCTTGAAATAAGCATCATAAATAAGTGAATCATTCTTGCCAAGACAAATAGAAAACAAATAGATATACAATAATTTTGAAAGGCAATTACTTCTGGTCTCCTTGCTAGAAATCAGAATTGTATTTAAGGATAAGTATGCCTAGTATATGCTTAGCAAACAAAGTTTCAGCAAAGCTAACAAGAAAAATATGCAGATGCTGCTAAGAAATCTTCAAAAAGAACAGGAAGCAACAAATAACAAAATCCAGGACCAGAGAGTTAATAGATCAAGCCCCAACTCTGACTTGTAGAATTTTATAAAGTCCAACTCCTACCTCTAAATCTTCATCACTATCAAGGTTACTTTTTAAAGTTTTTAATTGAACCACCAGGCATTTCTATTAAAACCACTGAAAATACTCATCTTTTTTCACAGAGCTTTTCATTATCATACTGTCATTTTCATCTTCAACCACATATTTACACATGTTTCCATCTGTGATTATAGTATTCAAAAACACTATATTTAACCCAAGTGTTTGTAGCCATTTTGTATGAGTCCTTTGACAATAAAAATTTAGAATTAACACAATGTATTTGAATATAAATTTCTGAAAAGCCTCCTGTAAGGTGCAAGATAGGCAATTGATGCTCCTATTAGGAACTTAATACACAAAAAAATAAAATAAAAAGAGTCAGAGTTAATCCATTTTTACCTACTCCAACTGATGTAGCAATGAATTTTCTTCTGACTCCAACTTCACAGCCCTGGAAAAAAACTCTTTTCAGTTACCACTTTCTACTAGATTTGGGTGCTGGCTAGTCTCCAATATACCTGGATTGTTTGTGTGTTCAATTTGTCTAATAGAAGAATAATTTAATTTCAATTTTTTTCAAAATTTTAAATAAATTACTATATTCAAATTTTACTCATCTTCAAAATTCATTCATTTTTACGCTTGTTTTTCTTAATTTTATCCCTTATTATTTTAAAAGATATTCAAAAACCTGATTATTGTAGTTTAAGAATCCTTGAAAGAGAAATTATTTTTTCAAAGAATGGTACATTAAATTTTATTGGAGATTATTATTGTTAATATTTTTTTCAATAAATTCTTTAAACTGCAGTTTAAGTTTTTTTTTTACAAACAGGAATGTATTCAGTACACTAACTTCAATTTTACTATGATGATGTACCAGTAATAATGCACAATTACATAATATGAAAGATGTAAATGTGCCACCAATTACATACATCATCACAAATGCATTAATAATAATAAGTAACAAAGAACATTCTAATTTTAACAATAAATTTCAAAATCTAAAAATATTTAAAAGATATTGGACGACAAAAATTTTAGTATAAAGTGATCTTAAATTATCAACTGTGTGATGATTTACAGTAGTGATGAGCAACCTTTCCTGCTGTGGGCCACAAGTGAACTTCATAAAGCTTCAGATTATCTGCATTCATTTTTCTTCTGAGATATGGCTTTGGCCCTACTGAGTACTAACATTCTCTGTAACTGCCAGTACACTAGGTTCTAAGATAACATATTCTAATGATATGCAAAGTTGTAGCATATATTTTATTCTCATCTGTTCACTAATCAAGTTTAGTTTGATTATTTTTTGTAATGAATATCAGCTTAATTATTTTTTGCATAATGGCACAAGGCAAAAAGCAGGAAAACAAATTTTCATTGCCAAAGTTTCAAGGACCACATATCAGGACTTCACAGGTTGCTTTTTATGTATATTGTAAATCAGTAGTAAGTATTTCTATTTAAATCATTTTAATTTTGTTTGCTAAAATTTATCTTTAATTAAGAGAGCTTGTAATGCATTGTTTACGAAAGTTTCATAGTACAGTGGTACCTCAGGATATGAAATTAATCCGTTCCAAAACTGAGATCGTATCATGAAAATGTCGTAAGGTGAATCATCTTTTCCCATACGATTACATGTAAAACAAAATAATTCGTTCCAACGCGAAAAACATACTCAAATTAAAGCCAAGTAATACATTAAAAAAATAACTGTAGTAAGAAAAACAAATGAAAAATGCGAACTAATGTAACGTCGTATGGTGAGTTTTTGTTCGTATCGTGGAGCAAAAATATGTTCGAATTTCATGTCGTATCCTGAAAATTTCATATGCTGGGGCGTTCGTAACCTGAGGTACCACTGTACTTTTTATCTTAAAAAAGGTCTTTGAAACTTAAATATTTGAAATAAAAAACAAAATAAAATTAAGTTGAGCAAATTTATTTTGATTATTCTTTTCTGTTACAATTTTATATTTCTTTTATAAGATATGAATTTGATTCAAATCTACTTTGATGTCTGAAGTGCATTTTTAACTAATTCTTCAATAAATCTTTTTCTCTGTGGTAAATCACTTTCAAGAACAGTAATATAAATATTGTAAAGTGAAAATGATTTAGCTGCTTATATGAACTTTCAGTGAGATAGATATCAAGGTTTTTCCATAAAAATTTAATTTCCAGTTTTATTTCTTTCTTTTCTATTCACTACCCATTATCCATGATATTTCATTCAAAATTTTTAAAGCTTTGAAAATATGTATAAAAATATATCTTATGGTCAAATTACTGGCCAAATTCAATCTAAGTGCTAATATTAGCACTTACCTTTTTCACACTTTTAGTTTTATTTGTTCCAGCATACTTGTGCTTATCACTTCTACTCATTCTAATCTTATCACGGCATCCTTTTCCTCCTTCCCAGTGAATGCTACTTTTTTTGGTCACATAAGAATTACAGCCAATGCATTCTTTATTTGTATACGGTTGTTCTCGTGCACAGAATCCACAGATCATTCTGGTAGCAAGCTTCATTTCATGATCGATTTCTTTCTCATCATGGCAAACATCACACGGATAGGCTTTTCCACAGCACGGAAATCTTAACCAACGGAAACTCTTCTTATAATGTTTACAAGTACCATTATCAGGTAAAGGTTTTCCTATCTGTACAGGAAGAATTTGATTCTTTATAAATTTGCTATTTAACTTTACAGAATGGGCTTGAAGTTTCTCTACAATTTCCTGCGTTTGTAATTGAAGAAATCTTACTCCCTGTATAGTAACATTCATTTTAGAATTGCAATACAAGCACCAAGTAGTTCTTTGCTGATTATAATGTATGCCAGTTAATGTGTTCTGCCTTGAGCAATTTAAACAGGAAATGGAAAATTCACAAGCTACCAAAGGAAGGTCAATTATTTGGCAGTGTTGTATATGAACATATCCAAGAATGGATGAATTTGGATGAAGAAGCGATGGCTGGAATATTAACTCCTGTGTTTGTTGGCATTTAGTACAAGTTGCCAAATTCAGTCTATGTCCCAACATGGTTAAATCATGGCGTGATTTACATCGATTACACAGTATTACTATTTGTAGCTTTTGACAGGTCAATGTTGCTGCATGATCTGCAAAATGGAGATCTTTAAATTTTATTTCTGTTTTCAAACCAGAATAATTATTTTTGTTTGGTCTTGGAGAATCATTAATTGAAAGTTGTCTAGTTGTATTAATTATATCTTTGTTTTCATCTGTAATATCTTCAGATTTTTCAACGTTCTGTTCCATTTCATAACTATCTTTACAAGAAACATCATCATCATTGTTGGAATCACTTTCACTCGATGCAGACTCCAGTTTTGAATTACACAGCATTTCATATGGTACAAATTCAATTCCTGCTGCCTTTGTCTCAATATCTTGTTTAGTCCATCTCAAACCGCAAATAAATAATTCTTCTAAATTTTTATCAAACCATCGTAAAAATGGACGGAAAGCCAAACAGACTCTATCATTATTTTTCTCCCACTTATCCAATATCCAATTACGAACGGTTCTGTTAATATGTCTGATTAACATATCCGGTAAAATTTCATCTTCGTCAACCACCGTGATCAGAAAAGGTACATCGGGATATTCTTTAGGAAATTCAACTTGTAGATTTACGGATTTCACCTCGAACGGCCAATCCGGATCGGTCGGGAAATATTCAAATCGGAAAATATCTTTGGAAACTTCACCATACTTCGGAAACCGTTTTTGAAATTGTTTGATTTCTGTCTCACGCAACTTTTCCAAATTACTTTCGTTCTCGTCTTTTGCTTTAGCCTCTTCCGCTTTTTCTACATCGTCGCTTTTCTCGTCGACAGAAATATAATCATTTTCCGAAACATCTTGTCTCTCTAAGGGTCTCCGATGAAATCGTCCTCTCATATTTCGCCACCTAGGTAATCTCTTGTAAAAATATCTGGCCGAGTGTCTTACCGTAACCGGTTTCATTCGGTCTACACTGGCTCTGGAATCCTGCAAACACTCTGATACTTCCTGGAAGTTTTCATATTTTCTTTCTTCGGGTTTTTCATTTTCTCCTTTAACTCTTTGAAATCTTGGAGGCTTCCTTTGGAAGTTTTGCACTCTACCCCTTCTTCTCCAATACGAATTATTCACATTATTTAAACTGATATTTTCAGTTTGAACTTCAAAATCATGAGAATATTTGCATTTATCAGAATATCGGCAGAATCCGTTACTATAAAATCTACATTTCTGTTGGTTCATAGTAGAAATGCAATTGGAAGTAAGACCGTCGTTTGTCAACATTCGATGATACTACGAGTGTGGCAACTGTTATGCAAGTTCCAGTTTATATAGGAAAAGCAGGAGCAACATTGCACAACGTTTCGACATTAACGACGATAGTCAGCTGATAAGATAGCTGCCATCTTATTCGCTTACACGTCATCACATTCGACGAAATTTTCTTTACAACTTAAATTATTATTGAATATTAATAAAAGAAACAATANTATTTGATCTTATTCATGTTTATGTGTTGTATCTATATTTTGTTATATATATTATGTTCATTTATTTATTTATTTTACCTTTTGCCTTGGCGCAGCATGGCCTGAATGGCCCTTGTGCCAGAAAACTCGCACCAACCAACCAACCAACCAACCAACCTTTGTAATCTTATAATTTTATAACTTACTGATTTTGTGATTTATAATTTTATAATTTGTACTTCGCGGGCATCTTAATGTAAACTGTATCACTTATTGTTACTTTTATTTGGCATTTTTACTCTCATTGTATTCGCATGTACCTTGTTCCTGTAACCATTTTCTCATTGCATTTGTCTATGTATAACTGTATGATGTATTACCTCGAAATTCTAATATGTTAACCAATTATCGCGCCAACAATCCATTGTAAATTCTCATTGCTTAATTGTCCAAACTGTCAATCATGTATGTATTTGTCTTATTTTTAATAGTTGCGGTGCAGGCGCCCATGAGTCTCCCACTTACCCTACTCTATCCTATCTTACTTTCTTTCACCTTCGCCTTAACTCGTCAAACTTTTCCTTCCTTCCTTTTCCGGTTCTGGGGCTATACCTTTGAGTGCGGCCCATCACCACCCCCTCACAATGTCATTCTAGCTATTGAACTTACCTCTGTCCAGTACAAAAATGTTTCTGAGAATAATTTCAAGTTGACATTCTTTCATTGATTTTCAATTATTTTTAATTATTCAAGAATTGTTTAGTTGACAATTTCACAATAAATAAACATTTTTGAATAATAAAAAATATTTGGAAATCAATGAACAAATGTGAACTTGAAGTTATTTTCAGAAACATTTTTATACTGGACAGATGTAAGTTCAATAACTAGAATGGAGGAGGAATGTCACTACAACAAGAGCAAGGTAGAGCATATTTTCACTTCTAAGGGTATGTCCTATGTGGCAGCATCCAGCAACTGTGGGCAGAAAGGATCTTTGTATGCGCCTCCAACTGATCTTTCGGGCTCGGGTTGCCCTGAAGCAGTTTGTTGAGTTCTGCAGTGATGAGAGCTGCATTGCGTATGAAGCGGCAATAGAAATTGTCTAGTCCCAGGAATCAGCGTAGATCACAGACAGTAGTTGGTCTAGAGAACTCTATGATTGCCTCGACTTTTTGCAGAAGTGGGCGGATTCCTTTTGGGTTGACCAGATACCCGAGGAATTGTACTTCTTGCTTTCCGAATATGCATTTTGATGCGTTGATTACAACACCGTAGTCGCAAAGTCTGGTAAATAACTTGCGTAGGTGCTGCAGATGTTCAGTTTCATTTCGGGACGCTATAATTATGTCGTCGATGAAGACGTAGCAAAATTTGAGGTCATGAGTAACTTTGTCCATGTAGCACTGTTTGCACGGCGTTGCACAAACCAAAAGACATGAGGTTGAACTCGTATAGTCCAAACAGTGTGGTGACGGCTGTCTTAGGGATATCCTCTTAGGCTATAGGGATGTGGTGGAAAGCACGGATGAGGTCGACGGTTGAGAAGTACCCACAACCGTGAAGAGTGGATGCGAAATCTTCTATAACAGTCGGGTACAGTTCGCGCGTTGAGTAGACGGTAGTCACCACAGGGTCGCCACTGGTCGTTCTTCTTTGGGACGAGGTGTAATGGCAATGACCAGCTGCTGGTGGGTAGTTGGCAGATCCCTTGAGCATGAATTTGAACTCACACTTAGCCAGAATGTACTTGTCCGGTTCAAGTTGCTGGGGTTTGCAGTGCACTGGTTGTCCAGGCGTCATGATAATATGATGGACGGTGGAGTGCCGGACAGGTGCGATGGTTGGAGATGGACATGTTATCTCAGGAAACTCCCTCAGTAGTCGGTGATATGAAGAATTGCAGGCAATAGTTCATATCAACGGTGTAGTGACACTGAGAATATGTCCTTGGCTGACTAGTTTCATTGTCGAGTCGATGAGACGTTTGCTGCGAAGGTCTGGGAGAAGTCCATAATGAGATTTAAAAAATCAGCACTGATCAATGGTTGTGTGACGTCGGCTACAATGGATGCTCTTTTCGTTCAACCTCTATCTCTTTCTCTTGAATTGCATGCTCTTTTCGTTCAACCTCTATCTCTTTCTCTTGAATTGCTTGCTTTTTCCGTTCAACCTCTATCTTTTTCTCTTGAATTGCATGCTTTTTCCATAGACTAATTACCTAGCAAAGCTAGGAAGACTGGCAAGCTAATAGAACGGAAAGGTTGACTGAACCGACCATCGCGTCCTNAATTTTTAAAGTGCATAACTTTTAGAAGTTTAATTTGATATTTTAAATATTTAAATAATGGTTTTATTTATATGTTATAAAAGTAAAAAGTTTTGAATTAATTATGATTCGATCAAAACTGATTTTATTTTTGCCGAAAGATGTCGTTACAGGCACTTCCGGCATCTGTACGATAATTAAATTTTAATGCTTATCACTAGTTCGGCTATAACGAGACGATAACGACATCTTTCGGAAAAATTTAGAGTCAGTTATAATTAATTCGAAACATTTTCCCTTTATAAAATATAAAACTGTTAACATTTAAAATATTATAAAATTAAATTTCTAAATGTTATGTACGAGTATTTAAAAATTATCTGATAAATAATTAACATTGTTTATATATACTGTATATTTATTATATATACTATATAAATATACAGTATATATAAACAATATTCATCAAATAATTTAGAGTTCTATATGGTATATGAAATATAAATAGAATATAGCAAATAGCCTACTACCATTAAACAGTAATATTATTAAATGTATAGTTTCTATTATTAATATTTAATAATTAATTTGCAAAGAAATATCGTTCACGATGATAAGGTTGCAGTTATCTTATCAGCTGGCTATACTAGTTAATGTCGAAACGTTGTGCAATGTTGTACAACGTTTAGTCAGCTGATTGGATTGATACGATAGTCGATATTATCTGTTTTTTTATATAAACTGAAACTTAAATAATCGCTTTGCTTGTAGGATCATCGAATTTTGACAGACGACGTCCTATCTTTGGATTGCATTTATTTATTTTTTTATTTTTAACTTTTTTTGACCCGCGGGTATCAAGAGGGCCTTTTCCCACGCTTTTATGAATTCGTTCAGATTCACAATGGAGTGGCCGTGTAATGAGAGACGGGTCCCGACATCTAAGATAGTCCATAAAAAGAACTCCTTTCGAGTTGCTCGCCTAGTATAGGTATTTTCCGACTGATGAGGATTAATCATTTGAGATGAAACCTATAAATTTTCATGATGGTTTCCCTTAAGAGTATCCTAATTAAGGCCATCGAATACAGGGCCTCTTTAACCTTTTTTTTAAAAAGAAAACTGTGAAAATAAGCTTTAGATATTAGAAAGAAATTCCATGGGTAGGTCTATATTTTCTTTTAAATATTTTCTTGACATTATTCTGATGTGTAATCATTAATCTATATATATATAAATTTCTGTCTGTCTGTCTGTCCTTCATGCATTACTACACCATTTATCCGATTGCCATGAAACTTTGGGAAGTTTTTTAATACACTCCCGCGAAGGTTTCTGGCATAGTACATTTATCCTACGATAGATGGCGCGCGTGTATACGAGCATTTCAGCACGGTTAGGACATAGACTAATTACCTAGTAAAGCTAGGAAGACTGGCAAGCTAATAGAACGGAAAGGTCGACTGAACCGACCATCTCGTCCTCAGACGGACGCCGCGTGAAAACTAATGCCACGAACACGGCGTGTTAGAATTACGATAATGGTTCGTAAGCAAAATGATGCCGGATCTATTCATATTGTATTTTTTTTTTTTTTTTAATGCTATAAAGTTTTAGTGAAAACGTAATAATATTCCCGAGATTTTAACAATGGAATAGTACAGTGTCCTGTGCCCAAATTGGTTTAGCCATCATATAGGCGATGCATTTGCAGTTCTCAAGTAAACTGTAAAACTTGAAAAAAAACTTGTGAATAAAATACTCGTCTTATAAAGAAATGTTTTACTTAATATTGTACAGATTATACAAAACAAGTGCAAAAATGTTTTAAAACTTAAATATATTGAAATGATAATTGTAATACAGAAAATAATTTGTCTATGTCATGACATTGTAATTAACAAGGCAAATGCAAAACTTTACAAAGTTTTGAGTGATTGGAACTGGTAGAAATTGAAGTGACCCTTGTTGTAGTAGATATTGCCTGATTTATAAATTTTGTAGCATAATATAAACGCATTCGTATATACAATTTTACCAGTAAATCTTGAAAGTCTTTGCAGACGTTTATTTTCATAGAAAAGTTGTTTTGTTCTATTGTCCTTAAAATGTGATACATAATTCTTTTCTTATGCATATTCGTATTAAACTCTTTCACAAAAGTAGTTTCACATTGTGACATGAACTCTAAGACTTCATCGCGAGGTGAAATTAAACTTCCAAAATCTCCTTTTTCATACGTATATGATTTAAAATGGGTAAATATCTGATGAGAAGAAGACAGCACAGGGTTTTGTGAACCTGTTAAACAAAAGTTACACAAGTGAATCTTGTAAGCTTTTCTCAAAACATGCCCTGTAATGTATGACAAAACACATTTCTCGGGAAAATCTTCGTCTTGAGAAGCTGGCAACAGCAAGGAATTGTTATATTGTATTGTTGATGTTGTGACTGTTGTACTTGTCACGTTCTCACTTTTTGACTTGCCATAAATATCCAGGAAAGAAAACAAAGTTTGTCCCAAATCATTTTCACAATTTTGTCCTTCAACATCTGCAAAAAATCTCTTCATAATATGCTGTTTTAAACAATATTTAAATTGACTGGCATTGGGATTACTCCTATTCCCTCCATGTTGTCTTATGCTTGAATATAAATTCTCCACTGCATCTTGATTCAATGACCTTGTAAACAAGTACTTAACCCCA